TTTCTTTGATATAAGAGGATTAACTCCAAGCCAGCGATCTCCACAAACAGACAGTGTATAATACACGTACTTTTTGTTTATACTCTTAAAGCTTTTGGGTTTGGGGTTGGGTTTTTTTGTATTTTAGTAAAAGCTTTAGGCACTTACAACACAAAAAGGTCACATAATACATGCCGAAGATTAGCAGAGGTGTTACAAGAGAGTAACAAAAACAACAAAAAAGAAGGAGAAAAGATAAGGACGATAGATGTTTTGATAGGAAAGAAGGAGCTAACCACACCAAGTACCAGAGCACCCGCGAAACCACCCACTGAAAGCTTTTAAAGGAAAGCACTCGAAAACCTTATTGTCGCCACTACATACGTTTTGTTCGAATAAAAGAGAAGTATGTGAAAGTCATAAACAGCATTTAGTGCGTGGGAAAGCAGGCCATACTGTAGCAGAAACAACAGAAGGACAGTAGAGTAGGACCTGGCAGTGTCAGCCGTCAGCTACACGTACATGTACCTCCTCGTCACTTGTAACGAGTTGACACCAGACCCTTCAGAAGAGACCAACAACCACCAAACAGCAGGCGACACTGACCAGACAAACTGATGTTGCTAGAAATAAACCGTTCCCAGGCCGCGAGTTCCAACCAATTTCTGAACCGTAGATCTACTCCCTCCTTTTATTTTCTGCGGCGAGGTTAGAGGGTTCTTTTGGAAGAAGAGGAGAAAAATGAAAAGGAAAAAAAAGCACTCTGTTTTAATTCATCTAATATCTTAAAGTATGATTTTAATTAACCACCTTCACTTGCAATAAATAGAAACAATTCCACAATAATTTCTGGCTCTCAGGAGTCACAAATCATGCGTGTGTGTTTGTGTGTGTGTGTGTGTGTGTGTGTGCTTGTGTGTATGCACGTGCTCGAGCAGTGCCCTTATGTTTTAAACTAGTGTTTATAAGAAGAGGAGTGGTTTTGCATAAGTTCTAAAGACAAAATTACATTTTTTTTTGTTGGGTCTGTATGTACAAGAAATCGTTCCGCTTTGCGAAATCTCGTAAGCGATCATGTTGTCAGCTTTATACCCTTCACCACATTATCACCCCCACACCTCCCCACCTCATCTTTCCCCTCGTTTAACACCCTCCTGTCCATATCTCAAGGCTTTACGCTTTCCTCTTTTAAAAAAAAAAGGCTGTTAATGTTGAGACGCGTGATCAATCAAACTTTAAAAAAGACATCGCACTGAGGCCCAAGTCATCATTCTCTCATTCAAGTTTCGAATTACAATGGTGTTCACAGATACACGCTCGGTCCTGGCTTTCACGGTGACTTCTCTTAAATCGAGAAGGGGGAGGGGTAGAGGGAGAGAAACAAAAGAGAGGGTGAGAGAGAGTGAAAGAGAGAGAGAGAGAGAGAGAGAGAGAGAGAGAGAGAGAGCGAGTGCGAGTGTGTGTGTGTGTGTGTGTGTATGTGTGGGAGGGAGAGAGACAGAGAGAGAGAGAGAGACACAGAGAGAGAGACACACAGAGAGAAAGAGAGACTAAAATTAAGAGAATGGGATACTTCTGATCCTGAGTAAATAATGCTTATTCGAAAGACTTCGCTTGAAAATAAACAAAGCGAAAAACAAAGCTGGTTATGGAATCTTTTAAAACTGCATGGCCAGCCAACACAGAAAGACGGTTGTGTTCTAGGCTCGACAGTAGCTTGTGTGTGGCTGTTGTGCATACTCCGTTTATAGCGGCTCGGATCTAAACAAAGAGGCGGTAAGTGATGCGAACCTCCTTGACACCTGGACAGCAGCCCCAGAAACCATGCGTTAACAAATTAATCAGATACAGCCGTGAGCAACAGGAGCATATCGATCAGTCATTGTTTTCTGAAACAATTCCGCACAGGACAACTGTTATGCAAAAGCGGGTCGGGCCAACAAAGCCCTAGACTGTGCTGTTGCATTTAACAAAGGGTCAAAGAATGAATAAACACAAAGTCAGTTTTATCTCAGCCAACGCCTATTACAGACAGCATTATTAATAATAATATGTAGACTTGAGAGGCTTCAAAAGACCAAGAAAATTAAATTAAATCCGGCAAGTAAATAATAGGAGAGGTCTCAAAGCTATTTCCGACTCAGAATTTAAAAAACGCACCTAGGTTATATAATATGTGCGCCACCTAACAGTTTCTCTTTTTTTTTTGTTGTTGTTGAGGGGGGCGATTTTTTTAAAATATATATGTTTGTATTCGTGGGCGGCACGGGTTGGGCCTACGTGTAGGATTTAGGGCCACAACTTCCATGCCTTACAACCAAGCGTAGCAGAATCAAAGCCTATCGACCGACTTCGGCTAATAGCTTAGACAATACAAAAAGAATATAACGACTTAATAATTTACATTTATAGCTACTCCCAATGACAGGCACGGGGACACATATGCGAGAAACGTTACAAAAGAAATAACACAGCTGCTGTATAAAAAAGAACGTTAGTTTTAGCTACTGCCTGTCCGGCAGATGGGTTCTGTTGACAAGTTTCCACCCTCATGCCCACCGAGGCCTCCGTGCTCTTTCGGTTCATTTCCCCGTTATCCAATTACTCCAGCTGTCCATGAGTACGTCCCGTGTGCAATTCCGTCTCTTGGTTCTGTTAAAAATGTCACCTACAAACGACTGACTGCCCAGTACCACTGCCTCCAACAGAACGCATGGATCGTGAAAAGGAACCAGATGAAGAACTAACAAGTCTGGCTAGCTCCAGGGGCTGCCTACAACTCGAAAGGGGTTAACTTTACGCCACTGTGGAAAAGTCTACTGGCGCAACGAACCGCGAAGGCGACACACAAAGCACGACTATGCTGGGTAGAGGAAAGCACATGTGGGAAAACATCTTACATTTAATAAATTAAATCAAAAGATTCGTTTACCCTATATTGATTTAATGTGTATTTATTTATTTACATACACAAACAAACACACGCGCACACGCGCACACGCGCACACACACACACACACACACACACACACACACACACACATACACACATTGTACAGATTGCCGACCGCAGACCTCAGCCGGTTTTGATTTTTGCGCTTATTCTCCTTCCCCAATCCAATCCCTCTCACTTGTTCCGTCAACGACTATCAGCCCGCCCTTTTTCCACTTCATCGCATGTATGTGCTCTTGCTGCGTTGTGTCAATTTTTAAAGGTGATTCAAATCTTACGCTTTGCGAAGAATCCCAGTCCTAACAAACTCAATGGGACAATAATTTCAATAATTTGATGATCCTCGTCAGCTCTCAAGGTTTTGGGGAAACACTTCCCTTCTCACCCAAGCTCTTCAAGGAGTTTTGAGACTATGATTCCAACGTTCAATGAAAAGTTGTCGCAGCACATATATCTATTTAGAATATATAGTTGACGACAGTTAAATAGTAGTCTGTGCCATCATCTGTGTATACGCGGCCACTTAGCCATATCCAGGGCACAGATCTCTGAAACAAACGTCACTAACCACTCTTTTTACCTGCACCCCAAAATATTACAATTTGAAGAACTGCTGGTTTCCAAAGTGCCCCAAGCAGTGACACAAAAAGGGTCGTATGAAATGGCTCGGTGGTACAAAGCAAGAGTGGTCACCAATGACAAAATTTGCTTTCCTTCCGATACACCCGTCTTATTTACCTCCCCCCCCTCCTCTCCCCACTCCCCAAGTATCAGTTGGACACACTCTCTCTACCTCCAGAATAAAGTTCCTTTCTTTGAACTCGTCTCCTCACCTGCGTCCTCAAGCCTACTCATCATAAATTCTGAAGTGTATCACAGACAAAAAGTTAAGAGACACCTACAAACACACTCATGCAAAAATTAATAATAAAAAAATACATTCATAAAAACGGTCCTGGCACCACCCATAGAAGCAACCAACAAGCCGGATGACGTGCCACTTCACCAGGTCACTGACCGAAACACCCGGAAAGAGGAGCAACCCAAAAAGACACAGGAACGCGGGCCAAAGGACAAAGTTAAACGATTTGAAGTTAAAGGTCAGCGGGGCTCTTACTACCGGGCAGGACAGAGCTCACGACACGAGTTGACCTTAGCGAACGTGGAACGTGGATGACATTAAATTTTACACAAGCAAAGAGACGGTGCGAGCAACATTTTCCCAAAACGATTATAATGCAAACGTTTGCGAATTTGTGATTGATTTTTCTCTCCCCCTATACCCCCTTCCAAAAGCGTGCTCTTCAGAAGAAAGGAGAATTGTACACTGAGCGGGGGGGGGGGGGGGGGGGGACTATCCGATTGAACGTGCATGCTGGCCTATGGTAAACATGGGTTCGCAAGTACACACAGAGCACACGAGACAGGCTGCGAGTTGTGGGCCCTACACATTCCTGTGAATTTCTAAAAGTGTAGAACATTCCTGGAAAGCAACCCCCCCCCCCCCTCTCTCTCTCTCTCTCTCTCTCTCTCTCTCTCTCTCTCACACACACACACACACACACACACACACATACACTCACATATCTGACAAGATGCAAAATTTAAGTACAAAAGTACTAAATAAAACAAAACAAAAAACTAATACAAACAAACAAACATACAAACACTTTCAGAGCTCAAAACCAACAGATGAAAGAAGACACTGGGGCAATAAGTAGAAAAAAAACCCTTAACAATCCACACCATCAGACATCATTAGAACAAAGGTGATAAATGGATTGAAAGATGAACAAAGCTGAAATCAACTCCTGAATATAGGAAAAACTTACATTTTAGCCTCTTCCAAATGGCAGAGGTATTCATAGGCAATATTCCTCTTCCTCTGCTCATCCATCTCATCTGCAGTGAGCCTTTCATCTTCAAGAGCTAGAGAAACAAAATTCAAGAGCATATTTCAAAACAAAGCAGCAACTGTATATAAACACAAATTACAAATGACTACAAAACATTCCTGCTTCTCATTCTGCAGTTTCATGTGTGCTGAAACGAAGAACAGCAACTAAAAACTTTTTGACCAAGTTCCCTGCCCTATGACAGCAATGTTTTTATATGTTTCCTTATGAGGTTTTAAAAAAAAGTTTCTCTTTCAATCTTTCAACATTTAAGCTAAAATGTATATTTTCGAGTAAAATTTACTGAACTGAAAACGGTCAATAGTAGTGTGTGATGGGGAAACTAACGTGACCTATTACACTACACTGCACACCCCTCTAAACCTGGAATTACAGGCACATTTTATTCTTTCCCCTCTTCCGTTATCCTTTAAACCAGGCAAAGAGTTCTGCATTCAAAATAATTGCAGAAGTAGTTCTGTCTAAACCACAAAAACAACACGAGGTGACCGGACATGATTTGTCTCAACCACTTGAACAGTCATCACATTTTAATCAACATCAATCCTAACCACTTGAAACACATTCACACCCATACTGTATACTCAACCCCCTCTCTTTTTACTAAAAAAACAGTCTGTTCATTGATCAGTGAAGTGCTTCAATTAAAAATTGAACATGATGGAAAAACTACTCACTTCTGTAATGAGGCTTGTGCTCATTCTGCTCCATGGTGAGGCCGTCTTGCTCCCACAAGAGAAATCAAGTTCAGTTCAACACAGAAGTATAATCCGATTCCAATGTGATGAGTAGACTATCAGTGAACTCCACAATAACAACAGCACAAACTACAGACACGCCTCTTGCAGCACTTAAAAATTATAACAAAATTGATAAATCATTAAAATATTGATAATGTTACAGACTTGTCTTCTAAACCTTTTTAAAAGAAGGTCTATTATTATCTCTACTCTAATCTAGAAATCTAGATCTAGATAAAATAATTTCACTTTCTGGTTTTTTAAACTCATTACACTGTCTTACTTTTTCCCAGCATGATAAATGACCATCCTTTAATTGTGTTGATGTGCTTCTTACTCCTCAAACTTAGTTTTCTTTTTAATCACTTCTTATGCTTTTGGGGTCAGTAGAGGCTCAGAATGTGGGGTGAAAAATGAGTTGGGGGTGATGAATGAGAGAGAGAGAGAGAGAGAGAGAGAGAGAGAGAGAGAGAGAGAGAACATGGCGTAGCTGGTTGAAGTTGAACAGGAAAAGCGAATTTTTAGGCTTCACTGGTTGAGTCGGTGTTGGGACTCTGCGTTAGGGACAAGATTTTATCAATTCCACACACACTAATTACTCGTAAATATTATAAATCTAAGCAATAGTAATAGGCTACTCAAAACCGCAGAAAGAAAGACAGTGGTTTCGTTGATTCGGTCCCAGCTGGACTACAACCATTCGCACTCAAACTCAGAGCAAACTCAAATTGACCCGCGTCCGTGAACTTTGCTCTGGGCTAAACTAAACTTTTTTTTCAAAAACTTTCAAAAACTTTCTGGAAACGTGCCACCATCACCTGAAGAAAATTCATATAATAACATTAGACTACATTTCGTTTCGTGAATAACAAACTAGATATAGATATAGATCTACAGTCTACAGGTGGATACACATCAGCCAACTTCTTTTTCGCTGGACATTTAATCTAACAGATTGAAAGGAAGGCCTACGCCTACACAACACACTTCACCGCAGTTTGCCTGTTCCTTGGCAGCTAACAGAATTTGTACTTCACAACTCACACAAGCACTAAAAACGTCTATCAAGGGTTCAACAAGGCCTTTACAAACACCCACATAGAAATATAGCAATTGTAAAAACCAAAGCAACGTTTTTCTTTTCATTCATACCCTTCTCACGCACACTACACAGCCGAGCCGTAAACAGCGGACCTAGGCCTAGCGGCAGATTCCGCCAACTCTCAAATCATGCACTGTGGGCCGCTTGAATGAAGTGCCATTTCTGATGAATTGTGGGACAGTAAACACAATTCGACTTCGGGGGTGTTCGCGCACTTTACGGACTTACACGAACATACTAAATGTCAAAGAGAACCGAATATTTTACACAGCATAGCCTCTCAGTCAAAAAAAGGGGGGGGGAGGGGGGTAAATGTGTTTGAGTTTGATGTCAGTCCTTATCAAGACAGAAAATTAGAGAAAACTAAATGTGCAGAACATTTTTATGAATCATATACTTGTTGAGTTTGTAAAAATAATGTATTATTTCTAGGGTTTAAACTGGAGAGAAAGTGCGTGTTCCAAATCATATAATGTATTCTGTACATACATAGGCTTAATATGATAATAGGAAGAACGAGGACACACACTCACACAAAAGTTCAAAAGAAACCTGAAAATGTATTCATCAAAATAATTATGATCGTGTTAACGCCTTCAATGTTTCACGAAGCAGTATACCAATTTAATTTAGGCTACATAAATTCTGCATTATCTGACACATCAATATCACATCAACGATAAGAGCTCCCGAGATATTATGGGCCCTCAAAATTAACTTTTCAAAATCAGACTTGGCAAAGTTGTAAGAAATCAAAACAAAATTAAAAGTGTGTCAGTGCGTGTATTGGGGTCAGTGTGGACTAGATATCCAGACTGCCTTGCCGATGTGTATCAATATTAGTAGGCCTACATGTATTAGGCCTAGCGGAATGGACATAGTGACATATCAATTGAGTGGAGAATTTTGTCTATGCAAAGAACAATACTTTATTACGATAGCATTTAAAAAAATGGAAAATAGAGAGGCGATCACAAATACACACAAAACTAGGACATAACATTAAATGTACTCATTTAGTAGACTACCTGTATTTTGTTTTGGCGCCATTGCAGTTTCTTGTAGAGAACATGGCATGGTCTGTGTTAAATAGTAGGCCTACATATATATATATATATATGGGGCAACATCGCATGTCTTGAACTGCTGTTTCATGGGGCTCCATTCACGTTCACATCGGTGCTATTTACCGGTGAACTCCGTCGTTGGTGTGACTATTAGTTTTCCAATAATTTTTGTCTAGTAACCCTGTAAGTAGATTCTTGATTATGCATAAAGATGTCTCTTAAATAACAGCATGACGAAATAGCGTTGGATGTGACGTTCTAGCGCTTAAATTACGCATTGTAGTCCTCTAGGCCTAAACCAAACCTTCCGTTGACTTTCGCGCATGGGGTTAATGTTTAAAATTTAATGTCGATGATTGAGTCCCAAATCTAACGATGCAGTCCATACATAAAAATGGCTCGTGCTTAGCACGAAAGAAGTGGCTCCTAATCAAAATACCAATAATATACGCACATTTAAAGTGAAGTTCAAGTTTTTCGTGGTATTTATGACTGCTGTTTCCCGGTAGTATGAAAATAACGTTATAAAATATTGTTCATTGCAGAGTAAATAACATTCTCCATTCATTTCACATTCAATACATGTTCATTCCACCCATTTTGATGCACCCCAATACAAGCACGAACACACTTTTAAGGGTTTTTTTTTGTTTGTTAGTTTTTGTTTTATTTTGGGGTGGGGTTTTTTTTTGGGGGGGGGGA